AATTTTAAAAAATAATTAATTTGGAAGGATGACCTGTTGACCTGTTGGAAACCTTCAAATTGGAAGAATTGTTTGAAATTGATTAGTTTAGGGACCCAATTGTTGGTTTTTTAAGTTCAGTGGCCTAATTGTTTTATTTTGTGCAGTTCGATGGCCTATTTGACCCTTATTCCTTTTAATTAAAAGGGTAGCAGCATTTTTTTTTTTAAAAAAGGATAAACTATCCACTACCCTTTCTAAAAGAAAGGGCAGTGCGGAAACGGATCTCGGTACAAAAAAAAAAAAAAAAAAAAAAAAAAAAAAACAACCCTTCAAAACCATATCAGATCTCACTCTCACATCTCTCAAGCTAACAGAAGCTGTCGTCCTCACCACACCTCCGCCGTCGACATCTCCGTTCTTCCACAGTTCTCATTCTCCGTCGCCATCTTCGCTGGTCTTCGTACAACAGAGCAAGGTTGCCAGCGTTCTTCGTACAGCAGCGCACACAGGACGAAGGTCGCCAACGTCGTTGGTCTTTATACAGCAAAGCAAGGTCGCCGGTTGCGAAGGTCGCCGTTTTCTCTTCCTCATGGGTCGCTGGTGCAAGAAGGTATTAGTATATTCAGATCTCTTACCCTTTCATTTATATACATATTATTGTATAGAGAGAGACTGCGGCGATTAGTATATGATTTTGATTGAACAAGTCTGCAAGTTTAGCCATACTCTGTTGTTCTTTGTGGAAGGGAAGATCTATCACAAATTTGATATGAAGCCTCACAATAAAAATAGTGAAAACTATGGAAAACAATGTCGTGAAAGGACAAACAAGTATATGACCAAAAGTAGACAAATATAGGTAAATATTTTTTATGTTCGTGATTTGATATTGATCAAATTTCTATTATATTTTGGAATAGTTTTGACCCTTTGTTCTTTCTTTTATTTATTAAAAGTATTGTCTATTTCCTGAATTCCTCCATTCTTTTGCAGGTTATTGACAATGATAATGGAAAACATTTGAGGCCAATGCCAAGGATTTTTGCTTCAAAGCCTTTTGGATCTGCAGTAATTTGCATCTTACCTCAGTTGAAACTTTTCTTAAATTTATGGGAGAGGTGTACTCAAACTATATGCTTACAGATGCCAACACCATTAATGACTGTTAAAAAGTCAGATTTTTTGGGTGTTTGTTACTCCTAATGGAATGCATTTCTTTCTTTTGATTTTTCTCTTCATGATTTACTAAAGTGTTTCTGATTTGATGTATGAAAAAGAGTGTTAAAAGTCAATTTTTCTTTCAATTTATTTGATGGATAAGACGAAATTCTTTATAGACCACAAATATTCAGTTTTCTTTTTTGGGTGTTTTGTTGCCTAATGTAAATTAATTGCATTTGAGGGAGTCCCTGGGAGAATAAAGCAAAAGAAAAAGGGGTTTTTTGTGCACAACTACTGGCTAATGCACAAGCTGCAGCAGCTGACAGAAACAAGGTTGGCTATAATTTCACTTCTCAATAGTGTTAAATGCTTATTGTGTGGTTATATGTATTTAAATTATGCATTTTTAAGGACTTGTATTTAATGGTTTGGTTAATCTTGATGAATGAGATATGCTGCTTTTTCTTGTTTTGTGTACTATTTTTATTTTAAATAAATAATTTTAATGCATATTTACAGATTTGGCAAGTGATCTTAATATTTGAGATCTTTTTAGTTTCTGTGGTATTTAAGAAGTGTGATTAAGTTGCTTAAGAGTTAACTTATATTTTCTTTTCTTTTCATTTTTGAAAATGGTACATGTCAGGGGTGGAGCTATCCTGTTTCTGGGAACAAAGCGCCACCATGATGAGTGGTTGAGGGATACTGAAAATTATGCAGTGAAAGGTTGTTTTTCAATGTCAGAGTTCTGGCAGTAATGTCTGTGAAAGTGGTTTATATAGTTTAGTTCTGTCAAATGAAATGAATGCAAATCATCATCCAGGAATGTTAATAGGATAGGATGTTTGCTCTATGATTTCCCAGGTCTGAGGTATTGAAACAGTCACAACATATAACTCGAGCACAAGAGAGTTTGTTATAAACACTCCATGTGAATCAGCTCAGAAGTACTGGATAAGAGGGGCAGCTAATGTATGTTATATGACTCAATCTTATGTATATATGTTTAAGTGTTTCTGAATTCAATGGCAGATGTTTCTCTTGATGGCAAGTATCTGACTGCAATTAAGGATCCTGACAGGGTAACCTCAATTAACCTTTAGTACCAATGCTAAACTGTGTTTGTCTGTCTTGTTGTGATCTTCTAGTTCCTTGGCATTGTTTAATGGTTTATGTTTCAGAGATTCGGGAGCATTCATGGCGCCTTTGACAACAGGGCGTGTAACCATACCATCCATTGTAACTTACTCAGCAAAAGTAAAACACCCTCTTCTCTGATTTAGTATTTCTGAAAGACTGATTAAATTAGAACTGTTCTGTAATAACACTTGGATATTCATCAGGTGGGCTTAGCAATTGCCATAAGATACTCATTGACAAGGAGAGCATTTTCAGTCACACCAAATGGACCTGAAGCTTTATTGCTTGATTACCCCAGCCATCAAAGACGACTACTCCCTCTTCTTGCAAAGATGTAAGTAGCTGTGTCTGCATTTCTCCTCATTGCCCTTTCCTTTCTGCTTGTGTCACGTTTTATGTCACAATTTTGGTTCTATACTTGGTTAACCGAGGTTGTTAATAACTAACTAAGCCCTCGACCTACCATTGTTTTTATTATGGCTTTTTCCTTATCTTCTAACTGAAAATTGCTTATCAACACTGTTCTTTTGCTGCAGATATGCCATGAGCTTTGCTACTAACTTCTTGAAAAGGATGTATGTGAAGAGGAAACCTGAAACGATCAAAACCTTACATGTTGTTTCAAGTGCCTTTAAGGCTACCTTAAGCTGGCATAATATGCGAACACTTCAGGTAGTAGCAGACATCACAGTTGTGATCAAAATGTCTTGTGGAGTCATTTTTAACTTTTATTTTAGATTAAATATTATCTTGTGTTTATAATTTATTTATTATTGTGATGAAAGTATTGAGATTGATTGATATAAAATATTGTATCGATAGTATTGAATTGTATGGATAGTATTGTATTGAAAGTGCATTGATAATATTGTGTTCATAATATTGTATTGATATGTTGTTTATGAATTATTTACAAGATTTTTTTATAAAATTGGGAATTTTAAAAATAATAAATGAATTTTTTTTTTTTTTTGTAAAAAAGTAAACCATCCGCTACCCTTTCTTCCCAGAAAAGGTAGTGGAAGATTAAGAAAAAAAAAAAAAATAATAATAATAATAATAATAATAATAATAATAATATGCCCTACCCTTCTACAGTTAGAAGGGTAGCAGATACTCAACTTTCCGCTACCCTTGTAAAAGGGTAGCGGAAAGCTCAGGGCTTTCTGCGACCCTAACATATGCTACTCTTGTACAAGGGTAGCGGATAGTCATTTACAACGGTAGCGGATGTGTATTTCTGTACTAGTGGGTGGTATGGTGGTGGTGGTGGTGGCAGCGGTGGTGGTGGTAGTGGTTGCGGTGGTATGATGTTGGTGGTGGTAGTGGTGGTGGTGGTGTGGTGGCGGTGGTATAGTGGTGGCGGCGGCAGCAGTAGTGGTGGTGATGGTGGTAGTGAGTTGGTGGTGGTGTGATGTTGGTGTAAAAGTTGGAAAATGACTTCCCCCACAAAAAAAGGGGAAGTCATTTTCCTCCAAAACAAGTCTATTTTCCAAAGTCAACGGAAAATGATTTCCGTTGACTTGATTTTCCAGGCACATCCAAACAACGGAAACTTGGAAAATGATTTCCAGAACTCATTTTCCAGATTTCCAAACACACCTTAAAAGGTGTTCTCATGTGAAGTAAAACATATATATATATATATATATATATATATATATATATATATATATATATATATATATATATATATATAGATTTAAGATCATATGAGAACATGTGCTTAGATGAGAACGTGAGAACACATCATGTGCATCCATCTAATATTTTTTAATGGTCTAAATTAGATTAAGTGTGTGCGAACGACATTAAATGTGTGCAAACGCGGTTTCGTGTGTTTGCACACATTTAATGCGCGTTCGCACACACTTAATCTAATCTTAACCATTAAAAAATATTAAATGGATGCACATGATGTATTCTCACGTTCTCACCTAAGCACATGTTCTCACTGGAACCCTACCCTATATATATATATATATATATATATATATATATAATATAATATAATATAATATAATATAAAACAAGTAATCTATGTATTAAGTAACTTAATTATTAGCAAAAGTTTGAAACACTTAACTTTATATACTGTTTTAGGAAAAGCAACAAGGATCTATTTTTTTCATCTAAATCTTGACGTGATAATAAAACTACTCTTATTTATTAGTTACCATAAATTTTTTTTACCTCGTCCTACGTTAAAAAAAGAAATATACACTTATTAAAACGACACCGTCTGAATTTTATAAAAAATCAAAAGTAAATAAGTGAAACGTCAATTAAAAATTAATTTTAAAAATCAAAAGTAAAAAAAAAAATCAATTAAAAACCGTAAGTGTCATTATAATTGAGTGATCTGATCAAAAGTGAACAACTTGTACATGAAAATATAAATATTTAAAGTGAGTATATATATTTTTGCACATTTCAAAGAGTTAAAAGTGATTTTTTTTTAAATAAAAATATTATGATTGCAACAATTAATTACAAATTAGTATATACATACACATAAAAATCCAATTACATGTTCAGTGATAAGTATTTTTTTAATATAACAAATAACAATGTCTAACACTTACAAAGCATAATAAATTATCCACAAATACTGGCACAATAGTATGATATAATAGACTGAGTAATGGTCCCAGTTAAAAAAAAAAAAAAAAAAAAAAAACCTCATCATTTGGTTAATTAAGGTGTTTTTTTTTTTTTTTTTTTTTTTTTTTTTTTTTTGGTTACAGATCATGCATAGAGTTAATTATTAAAATAGTTTTTTTGATTATAGCGAAATTACCAATTTAGTCATTGACTATTTTTTTGACCAATTAAGTCCTTCAATTTTAAAATTTTTAACCAATGTAGTCCTCCATTTGTTTTGTCGCTAGATATCCGTTAACTCATGACCTAATTGATAATTTTGTTATATTCAAAGGACCATTTTAGTAATTAACTTTTCAGAAAAAATGGTGCATGTGATGCCCGAAATGATCTCCTGAATATAGCAAAATTATCAATTTAGTCCCGAGTTAACGGATGTCTAATAGCAAAACAAACTGAGGACCAAATTAGCTAACATTTTTAAAGTTAAAAGATCGGACTTAATTGGTCAAAAAAATAGTTCAGAAACAAATCGATAATTTCGTTATAGTTGAGTGACCATTTCGATAATTAACTCCATCATGCATGTATATGAGCAAGAAAAGAGACAAGAAAAATGCAGAAAGAACCACTAAGGAAAACCAGGCTTAGATTCCACCCAACCAAACCTGCAACTTCAAATGACTCCAACACCAACTTATCTCTCTTGTGTTTGTCATTGTATTCTGATAAGTAATTCCACCCGGCCTGTTGGAACTTGTAACATCTTTCCAACTTTTCTTTGCTCCCTATTAGCTCTATTCTTTGCCTTAGGATACTCGACTTTGCCTCTACACCCTTCAAAGATCTATCTGCAACTTCAAATCATACAAATATATTGAAGATTACATCAATTCTGTTTCAACTAAAATTTTAAATTGATAATAAAATCGTACAGTAGTGCTAGCGTACACACGGACATAGACTTCATCAGAAGTGAAAAACTGAAAGTATTATACTATGATTGATATATACCTTATTGAAACTCTTTATTTAGGATTATATGATAATGTATTGAAAATATGAGACATTAAATATGATTGTTTTCTATTTGTCTATAAGAAAAGTCATCACGACCTTGTTTGGTAAAAAATTGTCCTATAAGTCAATTTTGACTTATTTGACCACTATTAATTGTTTGATTTAGTTAAAATATCAATATAAATGTTTGGTTAATTAGCTTTTTGCAACTCCAAAAGGCTAAAATTCAAAAAGCTACTCCAAGCAACTTTTTCAATTAGTTTTTTGAGAAAAGAAATTATACCAAACAACTATCAGCTAATAGCTAATTTACCAAACACTTTTCTACAATCAGCTAATATTATCAACTATTTATACCCTCTAATTAACACAATCAGTTAACAGCTAACAGTCATTTTCCCAAACAGGGCCGTTGTAAAATAATATAAAACTCACATAAATTGAAACATCAACCATAGAATGAATAAGAAATCAAAACAGTAAATTAAATACCCAATCTTGCATACCAAACAATGGCCTAAATGGAAGAAAAGAGTGTTCCTTAGCTTAGGTAATTAATAGTACATATATACGGAGTATTATAGAACGTGAATTTACGTACCTTCATCACGGAAGCTTCTGGAAATGACTTGAGGATAGGCCGCATGGGCTTTGGCCCTAGATGTAGATGATAATCCATTGCTTGAGAGGAAAGAAGGTATAGTAGAGGTCATTTCAGGAGATTGATTGTGCCCAAGTCTAATCAAGTGCTGCAAAGAGCGCCACCTTTATATGGGTATATATTATTAGGAATAATATTTTATAAAGAAAAAATTACATTTTTGATCCTCCAATTATACACATGGTACATGCTTAGTTATTGATGAGTTATATATTTTACCATCTTTAATCTTTAAATTATGCATATAGTGACAATTTTAGTCATCGAATGACCAAATCAATCATTTTATAAAGTGACAAATTGGTGGTAGAAACACTCTCCGATGGACTAAAATCACCACTTCATGCATCACTTAGGGGTTAAAGATGATCAAACATATAACTCAGGGACTAAGTTTATACCACAAGTATAACTTGAAGAACAAAAAATGTAATTTTCCCTTTTATAAATTTTGATGCTAGTAACTAAATTGTATAGGTTAGAACTTCATAATAATTTATAATTTTCTATTTAATTTCTAGACAAATTAAATTTGGAAATGCCATAACAAAAAGGATTTAGGTGGATTGGAGTTTGGTTAGTGACTTTTGTACCATACTATGGAATTTGATATTCACTATCATTTTTTTTACCTACTTTTGATATTCTATTATTGGATTTAAATCATTTAGTAATCATAAAACTCATTATCATTTCTCTTTCCTACTTTTGAATAATGGAATCAAAAATGAGGAAGAAAAAAAAAAGGTCATTATCCATGCATTCAAATTGAAACTTTAACACACGCACACGCGCACACACACGCACACATGTGTGCGTGTGTGTGTGTGTTATATTTTTATATATTAATTTTAATTAATTAATTATATATTTATTTATCAAAAAATCACACTTTTGCACCTTGAATTATACGCATATGACACTTTTTTCTCTTGAGTTATTCATGTATTCACATTTTCTCCCTCCATTATTTTGAAAGTGACGATTTTCTCTTCTTTATTGAGTAGGCATTGAGATTGTTAAAAATAAGGGCAAAATATGTATTTCAAGTCGCTTTCTTTCTGCAACAAATTATTATTTATATGTGAGTACCATAATAAATGTGAAAAAGAACAGAAAGCATTCACAAATATTACAATTACAATTTTAAGCTAATGCTTTTAACAAAATTAAAACTTAAACACAAATTTAGCACACCATTTGCTAGTATTATAATTATTATTTGTGTTCAAATCTTTTTTTTTTTTACTAGAATTAGCTTAAAATTATAATTATTTTATTTTATTTGTAAATAGTGTTTGTTATTTTTCACATTTATTCTTATTTTCACATATAAACAATAATTTATTGGAGAAAGAAAAAAAAAAATGAAATGGATATTTTGTCCTTATTTTTAACCATCCAACTACCCATTTAACAGAGAGGGAGAAAAATTACCCCTTTCAAAATAATTCAACGGTGTGTGGATAAATGAATAATTCAAGGAGAAAAAAAATTCTAAATGCATATAATTTAGGGATAGAAGTTTAATTTTCCCATAATAAATAAATAATTAATTAGAATTAATATACGGAGTATATAATATATAATGCATATGTGCATTAAAGTTTCATATTGAATGCAAGGACAATGACAATTTTTTTTTTTTCTTCTTTTTTATTCTATTGTTCAAAAGTAAGGAAGAAAAAGGGTAATGAGTTTTATGATTACTAAAGGATTTAAATCCAATAATAGGATAACAAAAGTAGGCAAATAAACATAGTAATAGATATCAAATCTGATGGTGTAGGGTATGAAAGTCACTTTCCAAACTTCAACTATGTTAGCAATAACCGGTCGAATCCACTCTATTTTCCATTGACCACAACCATATTTTCAATTGACTTTCATTTTTCCCCTCTAGCCAAATACTGGAAACTCGAAAAATGATTTCCACATTTTTCAGATTTATCGAACACAACCTTAAAGTTGGAGTTTCAAGTTTAAGTCCAGCCTCATATATTTTATAAATGTAAGTATTGTTGAATTTTATGTATTAATTTAATTTATTTGATGAACATAAATAGTTATTAATTGTATATTGTATATACATAAAAATGATAGAATTTTCATTTTTAGTTCTACAACTAGTGTAGTATTGTCACACTTAATTTTTAAAACTTTTAATTTTATCTCATTTATTCCAATAACTCGATCTACTGATAGTATACTTGGTCATTCATTACAATTTTCATCCAATAATGATATTAATTTTGGGGACAATTTAAGAATTTTGTAATTTTAGCCTTCTAATCTTGCTAAAAAATTGTTCATAAACAACCTAACAAATGGCATAATATATCCCCATGACTTGTAATATAGCCTTTTGAGTGATTAATGGTGCATTGATTTGTATTACACCACTCAACGTGGGTGTCATACTCGTCTACGGGTTCAATAGACCCGTCAACGAGGTATATTACGTGCTAGTGTGTGGTGCATTTCTGAGTGTTGTGTGGTGTATTTTCAAGTGATACATGGTGCATTGAGATTGTCACATGCCTTTGAATGCAAATGATTGAACAATGCATATTAGGTCACACGACCGCATGACAGATGATACCACATATGAGCGCATATATATATATATATATATATATATATATATATATATATATATATATATATATAGACTATAGTTATGGCTAACTCAGAGTTTTTTTTTTTTATTTTTTTTTTATTTTTTTTTTATTTAACATGACACCCTATAAAAATTGATCATTTAACTTTACATTTGGATTAATAATCTATTTATCCATTGTTCCAAATAATTGAGTTAAGGAATTTTTATTTTTTTTTTTCCGTTCTCAAAAGCCTTAAATGATACAAATAAGAAACAATTGGCACTTGGCAATTGGCATGCAATTAAGTTGACTTAATTAGAAGTGATTAAGGAGCTGTGCACTAATTTCACACGACCGAATAAAAACAAGACAATATAATGATTGCTTCCGCCGCCTTGTCTTTATTTCCACTTGGCAACAAATGTTCTTACTCTCAAGATTTGATTAATTAGAGAATATAATATTTTTATACATTATTACTCGATCAGCATTTAAAAACCACGAAAATAAAAAATAATTGTGCCCTTGTGGGATTTCCATCTTTTCCACTTGGCAATCAAGATTCTTACTGTGAAGATTTTATTCCTGAATATTATATATAAAAATATTAAAACCAGTAAAAATAATCGCATTAAGTGGGGTGGTATCTTACCTGCATGACCACTTTAGTTGCATGTATGCAACAAGTGGCATATTTTCACATCTAATCCTCAGCTTTTTATGATGCCCTACATTATATATTGCTGCCTTCTTTACAATAATTATCACTTCTGTCATTATATAATGCTGATTAGGAATGTTTCAGGTGTATACACGTTTCACTAATTAAAAACTAAAATATACCTAGATCACATTTATGTATCCAAGCAATATATGGACCTTAGTTTCTCTTTATCGGGTTGATTTCTGATACTAAATTGAAACATATACTCCATCTCAACTAAAAGGTTAAGTTAATAGTTGGATTACATATTTATGTTTAGATATTATGACCCTGTTTGGTAAAATAGTTAGCTTATCGGCTACTTTTGACTTGTTTGATCACTATTAGCTGTTTGACTTAGTTAAACAACAAATATGAGTGTTTGACTAATTAACTTTTTGTAAAACCTTATTGCTTCAAAATACTAAAATTCAAAAAGCTGTTCAAAGTAATTTTTTCGATCAATTTTTTTGAGAAAGTCATTTTGTATATAATCAACTACCAACTAACATCTAATTAATTTACCAAACATCTTTCTACAATCAGTTAATGCTATCAACTAGTCAAACTCATTAACTCAATCAGCTAACAACTATTTACCTAACACCTCTATATGTCAACACTACACAATTTCTTTCCTTTTTCTTTTGTTTTTTTTGAACGTCATTACAATAATTGACTACAAACCAATATATTTAATTATATGTCACATTATTAGTTCGTGTATGAGGATCGGAAGACTATTAAACTATTTATAGATGGTGAAACTAAGCTTTGGTGGAAAGGTATAAGAAAGATTTACAATTTTTATGTCTTAAGAGTGAACAATCTGGACTGCACTAAGGTTAAAAAAATGACTCAAAGTTATTATTCTTATATAATAAGTTTTATAGAAAGAAAATGACATTTTCTCTACTTAAATTATGGAGTTTGAAAGAGTTTTCAGCAAGTTATGCAGATTCTACATTTGTTTGAATTCACACTATCCTATCCATGTTTTCTGATATACTTCAATCCTTTACTCTTCCTGGGCCATCATCATCACCATATGTGTTTTCTTGCTTTTGTGTTATGCCATTTTTTAAATATATATAAATGATAATAGTCAAATAGCCATTCCAACTATTAGCGAAACAATAATTAGGCTATCAGGGTAACCCATATAAGATGGCAAGAGATCTACGGTTGTAACCACAAGGTCGCGAGTTTGAATCCTTGCCTCCTTGGTTTGATCCGGTCAGCTATGGTAACATAGGCTGATTTACTTCCTTGCAGTCATTTGCCAGCTAAGGTCACAAAGTGGAGTTTACTTACACTCGAAAGGGTTGTGGAGTTTCTCTCGTCATAAAAAAATAAAATAATTAAGCTATCAAACTTTTAAAAGTCTTAATTAAACCCTTAAACTTATAAAATTGGTGCAATTAGACTGACCTTATCCCAGCCAAGATCCCACTTTCTAAATGACATGGAAAAAAAATTCTTTTTTTAATGTATACATGGCTAGCAAACTTGCTAAAGTAGCAAGTTTGCTAATGGCAGCTTTTGCTGCCATTTGGCAGCAACTGCTAAAAGTTGCTGCGCCATTACATTTTTTTTTATAGTTATTTTATTATTATATTTATAATATAATAGGAAAGTGAGATCACTTATGAAAGTGAGATAATATTGCAGGGATGTAGAAAAAATAGTGGAAAAATAATAAATTTAATGATGTGAAAATGAGACCTATATTTTAAAAAGGAGAGAGTATTGCAACGATAAGGA